CGGCCCCGCGGGGCAGCGGGCCCGCGGCCCCCCCGCGTCTCACACCCCAAGGGTCAGCGGGGCCGCAGCATCTCTCCTCATCGCGCGGTTCGTGGGGTGAGCAGGAGCCGAGCTGCAGCCCTTCCCCGCGCCCTGTAAGGGACAGCGGGGCGCGTCCCCTTCCCAGCACCCGCTGTGACACCCACTGCTGCTCTCCGTAGTGCTTCCAGTAGTGGTGCACAGCTACTTAATGTTAGGCAACAGCCTCCAGCACTGATTTTATCATCTACAGCATTAGAGATTTATTATTTAGATGCTGTGGCTTAATTGATTTCACATAACAAATTTCCAGGAGATTTCTTACATAATATAGTAATAGTGTTTCTAGCAATCAAAATGGGGTGGGTGTCAGTGACCTGGGGTCCTTTGTTCCACACAGCAACGCTGAAAGTACCTTTTAGAAGCTGTAATTTGGACAGTAGTGTTGAGGGCGTATGCTGCATGCGCAGTAAACTGTTACTCTGGCATCTGGTTTGGGTGGTCCTAAAACCCAGAATCCCACACAGGGTTGTGGGCTACTTATCTGGTACGTACCTCTCTGAAATGCTCCCGGCTGCCTCTGCAGGCTTGCTTATCTGAACCACAGCAAAGTTCCCCAAACTGATAAGCTGGAGGAGAGAATGGAAAGTGAGGAAAGAAGCGGCTTTCCTCCTGAGCTAGGATGGGGTCTGGCGCAGCGGACCCACAGCCTTTGCAGTTGTTGGTAGCCAGTGACTCAGTGGTACCTGTACGTCATAGCACGTGTAAGCACCATCCACAGGACTCTTAACATTTTGAAGGGAGACTAAACATTGCTTCTGACCCTGATCACTGCATAATCTTTGTCAAATTGTCAAGTCTTTCTGCCTCCATCCAGTCTCCAAAAAGGAGCAGAATTATTTTTGCTACTTTTGCCTGGTTTTTTTTTTTTTTAATGTGGCTTCCCAGTGAAAGGAGGCTTATGTGATTATACCATCTGTCCGTCATTCCCCAGTGATGTCCGGTTCCAAATGAATTTGACAGAAGGATAAAGATCTCAAAGAGATTTAAATTCTTAAAATGTTTAATGAGAATCAACAGCAACATGCAATTTGTTGCCCTACTGGGGGAAGGACTGTAGCGCAGATGCAGCATGTTTATCTGCTTGTTCTTCTGCTACGTAATAGCAAACGAATACTCCCTGGCTGATCTGCCATCTCCAAATCTGCCCCATTGCCTATTGCCCAGCTAACCAGGGAGGGATCTGGAAGCAGGGAAGCAGTGGAAACTGGGAGGTTAGAGTAAATGGGAAATGGGAGTTGACCATACTGGGGAAGGGGAACTGGAAATATGAGGTAAAAGGAGAGGTACTGGGAGTAGTGTATTAGGAAGACAGATGCGAAGAGAGGAGTTAGGATCATCATAGGTGGCTGCTGTCATGGGAAGATGTAAAAGGCATAACATAAATGTGAGAAAACCTGATTTTAGTGGCTCTGCTACTGATAGATGTGCTTGTTTTGCTTGAATTTTGATCCTGAATATTTCACTCTGGTGTCTGTACTGTAGCTGTAGCGTGAAAACACCTGCTCTCCTTCCAGCAGTCAGGTCAGGCACATCCCCGCTTTCCAAACCTCTTCTCCGTGAGCAGCTGCAAGTCTGTCACCAGGCTGAGACAGGATTGGGAGAAGCTGGAAAAAGGGTTCAAGCCACAGAACAGCTGCTTCTGGTCCCAGTCACCACCGCTGTCCTGCTCAGAGACTTCAGCATCAGTCTAAGAAGGTGATCCCTAAGAAGAGGCTATCCATGCATCTATTCCTGGTTAAATACTGCAGGTGTGTCCATTGCCCTTGGAGAAGAGGGGAAAAGAACAGGAGGAATCAGGAACCAGTTCTCTGGTGGTTACAAAGCTGAACTGTCATCTCTCCATCTGCGTGAACCAGTGGGAATATATTTCCCAGAGCTGTGGCAAGGTTGAATGCTTGTTGTGCTGCATTCCTCACCACCCTGCATGTACTCAGGAGCAAAATCAGAGCTCCTCAAGCGTGTTCTTTGGTTTTATTTTTGGTGTCCCCCCCCCAATCCGCTCAGGAAAAGAGTCATCACTCAAGCGATGAAGACTCGTTTCAACCTTTGCAAGACACCTGAAAACTTAAAAGATGATAGCTTGGTACTGGGCCTGAGCAGTGCTGTTGAAGTGCTGCTGCTGAAAGCAATGCTATGCTAACATAAATATTTTGCTCTCCAGACCCACATGGTATCTCTACCATGGTATCATAGCACTCAGCTGTGTGAACATATGCACTGAACTGAGATGTCTCTGTTCTGTGCTCGGTTGCTTGCTGCTGACATACCCTCCATTTCCTCTTTTGCTGGAGATTGTGAACTGAGGGTCTAACATGAAAGCCTTCCAGCTTCAGCACCTTATAAATGAAATCTTGACTTTACAAATGCAGAGTGTAGCAGCCTTATCTACATCTAAAAAATGTAGTAATGCCCATGGGGTTCCAGGAAAGAGCTATGTCTTGCTTTTACTAAATCTCCTGGGGAGTCTGAGAAATAGGAATGGATCCAAAATTGGATGACATTGTGGTTTCTGAGCTAAGCTAGAAAGGAAAGGAACTTTCTGCTATCACCCATTAATTTGTAGGCCATTTGCATTTAAACAAACAAAAAAGAATGTGGTGTTATCTTTGTATGTACTTTTTTTTATAGTAAGTGTGCAGCAGAAGTAGGTCATGCCCGTACTCTGAAGTCTGTTATAAGTAGTAGAATGAAAAGAAAGTTCCCCTGCGTGAACTGCCAATATTTTTCCTATGCTAAGAACGATGACTAAGTAAGATTGATATGTTCTTGTTCAAGAAGGAGCTCAAAGTGCATTACTAATAAAAAAAAAAGTTTTTTTTTCCTTCTTTTGATACCTACTTCTATCTGGAAAGATGTGAAAAATTTCCAAACATTTAAAATAGTGAGATCAGAAGTAAGGAAAAGACTCTCAATGGAAGGGCTTTTTCTCTCTTTAGATGTATAGATCCTAATACGTATTGTGCATGATTATGTCACAAACATGTAGACTCCAGGGCCTAACTCCCCCAGGGTCATGTCAAGGTCACTTCAGGGTGCGATTGCACTGACTTTTACTTCATATATGCACTGTGATTTTTCATGCTGAGACCCCAAGACCCGTAGCATAAGTATGGTGTTCCCAGAAGGACGGAACCTGAGAAGGGCTTTGATCTAGGTCAGCGTCACATTACAGGTGACCTGCTAGATAAATAATTTGGAAAACCCTCCTCTTTGTAGATAATATAAGTACTTTAATGCAATCCTAGGATTCAAGACCTGATTCTTTAAAAACAGTTAACAACTGGTTTTCTATGTTTCCTACAGATCCTCAATGTGGATCTCAGGCGGTCTGTATTCCTTTGGTTGCCTGCCTCCTGTTGATCAAACTTAGTCTAACATGGGCAGAAATGACAAAGCAGTTGGTTTGTGCCAAAGATGTGCATGATGAGACTGCATCATGCCTTGAAGGCATATGTATTTACACTGAAGAAATCTTCCCACTGCATCAAAGT